TTAGTAGTTTTTCCCTCAAAATCTGCAGGAAGCTTTTGGCCATATTGTTGTACGGCGTCTTAGAGATAAGCCCATCCGACTTCATAAACCGATCCAGCCATCCACGGCTAGCCTTAAACTCTTGTTTCGGTAATTTCCAAGAACTTCAGTCTCCTCTTTTACTTTATTTCTTATGGATGTCACTAGTCCAGGTTGTCCATTCTCCCTCCTTTCACATACAATTCCAAAACTTTTTCTTCAATTTTAGGGTTTCTCCTTTGCGAGGGCCAGTGAATTTCTTTCTACTAGCTTTAGTTGCAAACAGTGCCAATTTCTGTTGCTGCCACAAGCGAACATTGCTCTCAGCTACGTTAAACTCTCTCCCTGCCTTTCTATTGCCATTTTTTTTCAGCATAAAGAATTACTTTACGTTTGAAAGTAGCGTCATATACATTCTTCTCTGTTTGCCCTCCATTTCTTGACTACGTACTCTGCAGTTGTATCCTCTATGCAATAATGTGTCAACGATAAATGTAACGGTAAATGTAGTCGAGAAATACAGTAATCCCTTGTTACGATTTAAATTTGGTTGACTCATCGGCAAACTTTGCACTCGAATCTAATGCGCCATCGAATCTAATGCGCACCCTAATTTTGAATACTACATTTGGCCAAAAACGATGCGCATTAGATTCGCGTAAATACGGTATATGATAAAAATTAAAATAAAAAATGTTGCTGAAAATTCCTTGGTCTTTTTCAAGCAGAAGCTGAAGAATTTTCAACACAAGCAAAGTTTCTGAATTATATCTGGATGACTGTGAATTATTGAAATAAAAAAAAAAAGTTGTAAATAAAAATTATCATCAGTCCTTTAAAAACACAATAAAGTGAAACTTTTAAATATAATTAATCATCAAGCTATAATCTGCTCTGATGTGACTTTAAATTAAAAATTATTAGATTTTTATGAAAAGAATTTACTCCTTTTTTTTTTTTTTTTTTTTTTTTTACATACATACAGATAGGTTTTAGTTACATTATATAGTAAATGTTTAAGTTTGTACTGTAACAATGCTGCACATGAATAAAATACAAATATATTATAAATATGAAATAAGTTTCTACTAGATGGGGTTTTTTTTCTGCTGTGGGAGAAATTTACTACATAAATTTAAGAATTACATTAGCAATTTTTTCTCCCTGGAGCAAATTACAAAAAAAAAACCTCTTTACAAAAAACCAATATTACATGGTTGGTATGATTGTTAATACATTTTATGTCTCCCAGACGATGCAATACAGTCCGTACAACGCCTAGCCATGCTGAGTATCAAATTATCGATCTGATCTTGGAGGGATATTACACCACTCAAAAAGCAATGCTCTCCGAAGCTCCGGTAGACATGTAGGAGGAGGTTGACGGGCTGTAACTTGTCGGCCAAGCATGTCACACACATGCTCTACTGGATTCAAGTCCGGTGAAATTGCTGGCCAGTCTATACGGGTGACATCCTCTGATTGAAGGCATTCGCTTACGATGTTTGCACGGTGAGGATGGGCGTTGTCATCCATAAACACAAATCGTGCGCCCATGGTGCCCCGAAACAAACATACATGTTGTTCAGAATGACATCCCGATAGATTTGATTTGTTATGGCTCCAAGGTGAACATGCAGGTCAGTTCTGGAACCCTGTTTACTGTAATTTCCGGAAGAAACGCCGCGGCATTTACGTGTTTAAAACTTAAATTTTCAGCGGGTGCGGCGTTTCTACTGGCATTTAGGTGCACTAAAAATAAAATATTTCCTATGATGGTCATTGTACATAGTTTGGATGGCCTTGTCATTGTGCATAGACTGGTGCTGTTCCCACACAAAAGACCACTCAGTTGCTTTTTGCGAACGTTATTTTGTTTACATTCTTTCCCTTGAACGGACCTACATGCCTTATTCACCCTAAGCGAGATCTCAGAACAATAATATTCTTCCCCCTTTCAAATCAACATTCTCATCAGTTCGAATAGTCTCTCTCCTCTGCCATTCGATATTGAATCTTCCAGGACCCATCCTCCCCCACCCCTGCCTTTTTTTCTGCAATTTTTTTCAAAGGCGGACGGACACGACTCCACCTGCCTCGCAATAATGAACTCTGACGTATTTTCCTTTCAGCATGAATGGATTTTTCTTGCATTCTGCCAGATACAGATCCCATCAGTTTGGGTACAGGTATTTGTTGGATAGTTTTTAAGTAAGAAGGGAGTGGTAAATTTTTTGAAAATGGCACCTAAACAGCACAGAAGCTATACTGCTGCTGCTGGATTAAGCTTAATGTAGTTTCACATGCTGAACAAATTGGAAATCGAGCAGCAGCTCGAGAGTTTGAAGTGGATGACAGATGCATTCTACATTGGAGAACTGAAAAAGGACTACCTAAAAATATGCCACAAGAGAAAAGAAACAAAAGAAGTGGTACTGTAAGGTGGCCGAATCTAGAGGATGACCTTGCAAATTGGATAAAGGAGCACCAAGGAAAGGGAATGGCAATTTCAGCTGTAAAAGTTCGCTTACAAGCAAAATTTATGGCAAAAACAAATGAACATAAATGATTTAAAATGAGGGCCTTGCTGGTGTAGCAGATTTATGAAAAAGAAAAAATATTTCTGTGCGTACTAGAACAACAGTCGGGCAACAATTACCAATGGCCTGGCATGATAAAAAGTCATCTTTTCTAAAATATGTGACAGCTATTATTGACAAAAAAAAAAAAAAAACTTCTTCGGTCGCAAATAATAAATATGGATGTAACGCCGTTAGCTTTCGACTCTCCTGCAAACAGAACTGTTGATGAAACTGGTGCAAAAACTGTATCTGTGTTTATGACAGGCATGAAAGAACGTCATTTACATGTGTGTTAGCTTGTGCGGCAAACGGTGACAAACGAAAGACTATTCCGAAGGGAGATTTTCCTAATGACGTAATTATTTGTGCAAACGAGAAAGGCTAGATGTGCGAAACAATCATGCATGAGTGGCTATAAAAAGTTTGGCAGTGTCATATGGGATTTTTTTTCCAACCAAAGGGGTTATTGATAATGTATTCCATGTGTGCTCAATTCTTTGAGTCAGTGAAAACCAGATGTCAAAAATTGTCTACGACCGAAGCAATAATTTCTGGTGGTTTGACAAAAATCTTACAACCGTTAGATTTGTCAGGTAATAAATCTTTCAAAGCTGAAGTCCGAAAGCGGTGGGAGTGTTGGATGAGTGAAGGATTGGCAACGTAACCAAAAGCGGTAAAATGCGTAGAGCATCTTATGAAGAAATTGCAAAATGGCAGGAAGTGCGTGGAAATCGGTAGAAACATCGTCAATAATAGCAGGGTTCAAAGAAGCTGAAATTATATCCTTAGATAAAGAGACTGTAAACCAAGAGGATGAATGTGACGATCTGGAAGACTTAGATCAGGATTTACTAAATCTTTTTAATTCAGATAGTGAAGAATCAGATTTTGATGGCTTCATATGATGTATAGTTTGCTGTAATTCGTAAGTAAAATTTAAAATTTCCTTTTGTCATCCAAATTTAATATTTCGTTGTTGCAGCATTTTTTATAATATAGTCCGAGTATTACAAATATGGACTTCTTTAGTGGGTAAATATAAGTATATACATGAAGGTAAATATATTTTCCACATTTCTTACCTTTAATTTATTTTTGAGTTATGGTTTCATTTCATGTATTTTTCTTAACTGGTATGTCATATATCAGGACTTAGGTTGAGTTTTTGCATCTATACAGCCCACGACGATGTCACGCGCAATTTAATTTATTGCGGCGTTTACGCTGATGCTGCGTTTCTGTGTAATTTTAATTTTTTTCCCGCCATTTTTCTCAAGTGTGGCGTTTACGCTGATGCGGCCTTTCTTCCAGAAATTACGGTAATTCCACCCCAAACGAGCACTCCTGCACCACCATAACGGTGTCATTCAATGATGTTTTCTTGGTGGTAACAGGTACCTGGAGCTCTTCATATGAAAGTCTGGCGAGAATCAGACTGCAAGCTAAACTTGGACTCGTCGGAAAACATCACACAAGCCCACTGTTGCGGTGTCCACAATGCAAGCTCTCCACTCCAGGCTAACCGCAGGCGACAGTCAGTTGCAGTAAGTGGAACGCATCTGACAGGTCTACGAGCATATAGACCAATCTGCCCTAAGCGTCTGTACACGGTCTAACTTGAAATTGTCGTACCAGTGGCTGAAGAGAGCTGACGAGGCAGGTCTGAGGCTGTGCTCCGCCTGTTTCTTTTGGCAGTACTGCCAAATACCGGTCCCCATTCGGCATTATATTTCTGTTGCGACCTATGCTGTAATGTCTACTCACATTACCATCATCTTGGAATCATTGCCAAAGCCTGGAGATGATGCTCTGGGCAATTCCAAGTTCGTCTGATACTTCCAGTTGAGTACGCCCACATTTCAGACGGCCGATAATTCTATCACTTAAAAAATCATCCAAATGCGTCCTTCGTGTCATAACTATTCGGTTATTGCACTGAAATGCTTATAAAGCGCCTGCGAACAATTTTACTTCTTTGCCTGTATTCCTTATATATCACTCTCGTCATTGTGACGTACCATCGGTGTCATCTGGTTATTTCCTGAAATTTGCATATGATTCTTGAAGATGTGTGTAGTGATTTTACAGATGATATATTTATTTTAGAGTTTTGATTTCCGCGTGACTCCGAATTATCCTCAATTTATGGACATGAGTGTAATTTTATTAAAATAATATAAATTGATAATTTGTGCTTTTACTTCAGTATTGTTCTGTAAGAGACTCAAAAAGCCTTAACATTATTAATCCATTATAAGAAATAATAATGGTCATCATCTTTTAAATCACCACCTTTACATAAAAATCAAACATTTCAAATCTAGGGGGGAAGGGTTCCTTAGAGCTTGTTTGTTGTATGAGTTCTTTAAATATGATGCATTTTATAGACAAGAAACACTATTATTTAAAAAAATATTAATTTATTAAATATGCTATTTTTTTACAAGGTACAGAATCCCTTTTAATCAAAACTTCAATTTCATCAGTAGATAATGTAATAACTTGAAAGTTTAATTTGGTAAGTTGACGAATTTTTGTTTGCATCAAGCCTATAGGCTGGATACTTCCATGAATACAAACACTTGGATCTAATATTTCGATGCATGTATAACATTTATTTTCTTCAAGAAAGTCTATCAGATGCTTGGAAATAATTCCATTTTCTGCATACTTCTTATACAGGTAGGCTTCATCTTTTGATTCAACAGCTGAATTTTTTAACTTATTTTTATCACTTGAACTTATAACTATTCCTGCTATCATAATATGTGGTATTAGATAGCAACATTCAAAATCATTTTTTATAAGCTTTTTTTCTAGATAGTCAGTAAAAGCCTTGAAACCTTTTCGGTTCATAATATCCTTTTGAAGGTTTTTGGGAATTGGATGCAATATGTTCATGTGATCAGAACAAAATGCAAGAGGATCTTCTATTTGTACACTTTTTTGAATGAAATACAGTTGATATTTTGGTTTAGCTTTATCTTCAAGGAAAATTGTATTAATACATGCTGCCTGCAAAGCAAAAGATAAAAGTTTATTTGGATAACAGCCTAGAAGTATTAAAGATTGAAGAGAATCAACTAGAATATGTAACTGAGAATTAATTTCGCCACTCTGTAATCTTTCATCCAGAATATTTATTATAGAATTTCTATTTGATGCTTTAACATCATGTCCAACTGAAGCCAATGCCCACAAAAAACGAGCAATATCTTTTACACGACTTCGCATAGAAGGATGTGCTTTTATATTAGAATCAACTGTTTCATTCAAGAGAACTGACATCCCTTGATTTTCAAGGCAATTAAACAATTCTTTATAATAGATATTTTGATCAGCAAATACAGCTAAAAAATTTGTACATTCTACAAAATTAAAAGAATTATGTTCTTTTAAAACATAATCCTGTAATTTGTTCCACAAATCAGAATCATAGAATTTAGACATTCTTAAAATTTTGAGAACACTTATAAGATTAAAACGATCATTTTTCTGTAAAAGGTTCACAGCAGCATGACATGATTGTTTCAGCAGTAACTCAGACTTAATTCTTTTGCTAATTTTGAAAAAACTTAAGCATATTATGGCCCACTCTTCATCAGAGAAATCCGAAATAAATGTTTCCAACTTACTCTCTAATATTTCCATTAAAAATGGTGGTCGTGATTTACTCAAACCAATAAAGTAAAGCATTAGTACTAAATTAACTTTTGAACACTTTGTCACTTTTCTACTCCAAACACTTGTAACAGCTGAATAATAATGTTTCCTAAATGCTTTTGGCCCTAAAACTATAATCCAAGCATCCAACATATATAAAGATAATTCCAAAGGCCATCTTTCTACTCCAAGTGCACACTTTTCATCTAAATACTTTACAGCAGAAGTATACTTTGAAATGTCTACTTTTGTATTTGCCATTAAACACATTACTTCTTTTATCTGAGAAGTAGAAAGTTTCATAACATTTTCTCTTTGCATTAAAGGTAATAAGATACTGTCATTATTATGAATATTTTGTTCTGGAGGCAAGGAAAATTCACAACTTTCTACTTTAGAGTTATTTAAATCATTATTTAGCAGCACAACTGAATTCTTATATTCATCTTTGCATCTGAAGTAATAAAAATTTTTGTCATGTATATAACTACATGATCGAGCACTATTTGATAAACATAATTTAAAATTTGCTACAAACTTCCCAAAAATTCTAACAGACATTTTAGTTTCAGTCCTTCGTTTCAGAAATTGACATCACAATCAAAATTGCCAATTCTTATAAAGTTTATATTTTTGGAATATCAAAATGACACATATTTTTGTATTTTAGAAGTAATTGCCTTTTCTGTATCAGTTGCTCACGAAGTGCTTCTAATCTCCGTATTTGCTCTTCTTTTGTATATTCAATACCTGGGAGTTTCTGGATTTGTTCTCGACATTCTTGCAATTTGCTTCTTAACTCAGGAATTTTTAAATTGCTGTCAGATATTTCATGAGGTTTTTGTGCATTTTCATATGTGTCTTTTTCAATGCTAAAAAAAATAAATAAATAAATAAATAATAAGAAGAAAAACTGTTAAAAGTCTATAACCATAGTTAAAGAATAAAATGCCATTACATATTTTAATTTGTTACATTATAATTATGTTTCCCAGATCGCATATACAACTGCTTCTTTTAGATTAAATTTATAAGTTCTAATTCCAGTTGAATTGTTTCAGGATAACTTTTAAATGCATATTTAATTTAAATATTTTTAGTTTATAGTTAGAGATGCTACCTATTCAGAGAACAGTTTGTAAGGATCTTAAGTTTTACTAACGTTTATTTTATTTTAAATCTTTACTATCACTTCTTATTTTCTACTTCCGGCCAGAATTATAAGCGTGAAGGAGTTTATGCAAAGTTGTCTGGCGAACGCCAAGTATTTAAGTGTGGCCTTTTTGCCAAGCAGAAGAGAGGAAGCCGTGAGTTCGAAGCAGGCCGCTTACCTTAGAAGTTACGCAGTTGCTACTTTGCCTTCCAGGCCAGAGGTTTTAATCCTCTTGATAAATTAAACGTATTGTAGTGTTCACAGTCTCTGTGCTACATACGCTTTCTGTTATTATAAGGCCAATCTTATTCTAAAGTTAAATTAGAGTTTAGTTTTATTTTGATATCTTTTAAGTTAGACCCCGAGTGGAGGGTCATTGTATTCCGAAGTACGGAAGTCATTGTATATAAAGAAAAAAATAAAGGGTTTTGTATACCCTTCGTCTGTATCCTGTCTACTTACTACAATTAGTGAACATAGCTTTAGTAAGCTCTCTGTTCTAGTCAGGTCATTGTATGTTTCCGAAGAAGGTTAGAAGAAACATTGAACCTGATAGTGGCGCCCGACGAAGAATAACCATGGCCGAGTTTCAAGAAGAACCTGTGCTGCCTGCAGAAACAGCTCAGAATCCAGAAATGCCAGCTGCCGCCCTGGAAGGATTTGGGTATATTGTCCAGACCATGCGCGCTTCGATGAAACCAGAAGCAATGTTTAATGGAAACTCACAGGTAACCAGTTTTTTGGAAAAATTGGATGACCACTTCATGCTCTACCCCGTGCACGAGTTTCAAAAAGTTACCTTAGCTACCAGCGCTTGAGGGGCCAAGCGCTTAACTGGTTCAAATGTATCGGCAGAAAGTCTCTTGGGTCAAGCAGGAAGTCCCACCTATACCTACGAAAATTTCAAAGACTGCCCTACTAAAAGCCTTCCCTGTTGTAAGGGATCGTGCGAAATTAGAAACAGAACTTTTCAGTATATATCAGTAACAAAGAATGGAAAAACATCTCGAGTTTTATTTTAAGAAAAATTCACGTTTTCAAGCTCTTGTATGGAAACCGTCCGGATCCTGAAATAATTCAAGTGATTTTGCCGAGGTTACTTACCCCAAGTGCAAGACTTTATTGAATTGAGAAATCCGACTACACTGGAAAAATTATTTGAGCTAGCAATCCAGTTTGAAAGTAGAAGAACGGCGGACGTCGAAAGAAGACGCCAATATCAACAGCGAAACCAATTTGGTACGCCAAGAGTACAGCAAACTCAAGCACATGGCTATGGAGAAAAAGCGAATCAGTGGGCAAGGAAACCCGAGCATTCAAAAACAGCCGGCGAACGTCGACAGTTCAATAGCAACCCAGGAAAAAAGTCTCAAGGCCAGTGGAGAAAGAAGGAAAGCACCGAAAGGAAAAATAATTTAAACTAAAACGAATTTCTGCTGACGAGAGGATGCGGAAATCCGAAGGCCACGAAAACCCCTCTTCCTACAAGTTAAATACAGTAATGGTGAAAAATTTAACTCTTCCGAAGATTGAAGTCTTGGTAAATAATATCCCGGCCACCGCACTCCTGGATACCGGCGCGCAGTGTTCCTGTGTGGCAGAAGTCTTTTTTAGAAAGTATTTTCGCAAAATACCGCATATATAATGCGGATAATACAACAGTATTAGCGGGCGCAAGGAGAACAATGTAAGTGCGTAGGTAAAGTACCTTTGTACATCCGTATCAAGGACGAACAAGTAAAGGTGATGTTTTTTATAGTAAAGAATTTGCAAGCACACTTAATACTAGGAATAGACTTTCTTTTCAGACGCACAAGCTACACTGGATTTTAATGAAGCGTCTCTTAAGCTGACGATGAAACCAGTGCGTGTAGAAAAGGTTGAACCGCCAAGGTTAAATCTCGACCACCTGCCTAATGACGAGCAAGATAGAATCCGACAAGTGGTAAGTGAATTTGCTTCCTTATTTAGTGATATTCCAGGATTTACCCAGGTTACTAACCATAGTATTGACACCGGAGATGCATTGCCGGTTCGTCAAAAACCATACCGGTATGATAAGAATAAGGAAAAAATTATAGAATGGCATATTACCGATATGCTACGTAAAAAGATCGTAACGCCTATCTCAAGTAGTTATGCTAGTCCGGTGGTTTTATGTAAGAAAAATAATGATTATCCTTTGGAGCATCCAAAAAGGTGGAGATTCGCTATTGATTACCGTAAATTAAATTCCATAACGAAATATCCGGTATATCCGTTACCGATTATAGAAGAAATTTTAAGGAACATAAAATCAACCAAATTTATGACAACTTTAGACTTAACGAATGGTTATTTTCAAATAGGGATCAGGCCTGAGGACGTGCCTAAGACTGCTTTTATAACCAAGTCTGGCACTTATGCATTTTTTGCGAATGCCGTTTGGCCTTTCAGGCGCCCCAGCAACATTTCAGCGATGCATGGACATTGTGTTAAGACCTGTTCTCGGAAAGTCCACATTTATCTATTTAGACGATATCATTATTACTAGTGATAATCTAGACCAACATGTACAGGATTTAAGACAGGTGTTTTCTTTATTAATGAGGCCGGTCTAAAAGTTAATGTCGAAAAATGCAAATTTGCAGCCCCTGAATTAAAATATTTAGGTTACAAAATATCGCAAAAAGGGATCGAGACAGATGAATCAAAAATAATCGCTGTACAAAAGTATCCGACTCCAAACACGGCAAAGAAGCTCTCTTCTTTCTAGGACTTTGTTCATATTATAGGTCCTTTATAAAAGATTTTGCGGCTATCGCTGAGCCGTTGTTAAAATTAAAAAGGAAAAGGAAAAAGGCAAGATTCTCGTGGACGGCCGAAGCCAATAGTGCTTTCGAAAAATTAAAACAAGCATTAACGCAAGCCCCTGCGTTGAAAAATTTCCTGAAAAGGATGAAAATTTAGAAATTTCAGCGGATGCTTCGGATCATGCGGTAGGAGCGGTACTTTCGCAAAATCAGCAGCCAGTAGCATTTTTTAGCCGAACTTTAAATCAAACACAAAAAGAAACTATTCCGCGACCGAGAGAGAGGCACTTGCAGTTCTGTTAGCAGTGCAAAAGTCCCGAGTCTATTTTGGAAAGGCGCCGATAACAGTATATTCTGATCATGCGGCGGTAACTAGATTGTACTCTGGGAAAAATTTATCCCCAAGGTTAATAAGATGGGCACTCAAGCTGCAAGAATATAATCTGGTAATCAAGCATACCCCCGGAAAGGAAAATATCGTAGCAGATGCCCTGTCACGAATTAAATTAGACGAACAAGGTAATACCGTAAAAGTTGCAATGCTGACAGCGTGTACAATAAATTCCCGAGAAACTGTAATAACCGAACTGGGTAAGGATCCTGAGTTTGGAAGTATTTTATGAGTATTTGAAGGATCCTGAAAATTTTAGCCACCAAGATATTGTGGCGATAAGAAATAGGGCGGCCCATTACGAACTAATAGATGGTCTATTATTCTACACAAAAAAAACTACGAATTCCAACAACGAATTTCGACCTGTTATCCCAGCTAGTCTTAGATTAAATATCCTGCAAGAGCTCCATGACAGCCCTTTAGCTTCTCATGCTGGTATTCGAAAAACTACTCAACGCGTACGCGAGGCAGTCTACTTTCCTGAACTGCAAAAGTTAACAAGGGCGTATGTCCAGTCCTGCCCAACATGTCAAGCCGTTAATTATATTAATTTCCGCCCGGCCGGGTTTCTAAATAGTATTAAATCCGAATTTCCAAATGAAATAATCGGCATCGATTTATTGGGCCCTTTCCCAAAAAGTCAGTTAAAAACAAAAGTCGCTATCTCCTTGTTATAGTTGATCATTTTAGTAAATGGACCGAAATTGTTTCCCTTAAAACGAGCCTCCGCGAAATTAGTTACCGATTCTATTTTAAATAAATATATTTTAAAATACGGGGCGCCCCCTAAAAAGTTATATCGGATAATGGTCCTCAATTTGTAAGTAATATATTTGAAGACATGTGCCAAAAACTGGGCATACGTCATTTAAAAATGGTCCCGTATCGGCCGCAATCAAATATAGCGGAACGGGTCAACAGAAATATAGTGAAAATTATCCGTAGTTATGTTAAAAATTTTCATAAAAGCTGGGATAACTATGTCAATGAATTTGCTTTCGCCCTTAGGACCGCAAAACATGATACAACGGGAAAAACTCCTGCTGAGTTATTTCTAGGCAGAAAGGTTATAACACCGTTAGATAAACTATTTTATGTGCAACAAAGAGCCCCAGAATTTAAAATGGGTGATATAGACAAACTAATAAAAGAAGCAAAAAAGAATACGGAAGTAGCACAAAGAAAACAAAAATTGTATTATGACTTGAAACGACGGGGAGTAACTTATAAAGTAGGGGATGAAGTACTAAAAATTAAGCATTCACTTTCTTCAGCACCAGAAGATAAAACTGCCAAATTTTTTCCACGCTTTGAAGGACCATATGTTATTAGAAAAAATAACTCACGCTGTTGT